ATTCAAGAAAGTAAGAATTTATCAACATTCTTTATGTACCTTTGAAACCAAGTGACTAACTGCTGAATAGTGGTGTCTCCATTTATTCTAATGATTGTCCTTAAAAAGGCTTTTCTCCTAGACTCTGGAGGGTTGATTCCAAAGATTGATCTTACAGGTTTTGTGTGTGGTCAAATGTTATCCACCATATCATATCATGATGTATTACATTTGGCATATCTCATCATCCAAAATTTTGTCCAGAGTTGTGATTTAGTTCCTGATCACCCAGATGAAGTGTTCAGGGTAGGGGAGACCGAAGAGCATATATGTATTATTATGTATTTATTTGGATATTTATACCTGCTCCTCAACTAAAAAGGCTCCCAGAACAACTTAAAAATTGTTAATTTGACAGTTCCTTGCCCTCAGGCTTATGACATACCAGGGAAAGGGAATGTCATTTGGGGAGGGGATTAATGTCTAGCAAATTTTGCCTGTTCTTCTCTCCCTCGCAGGCCATAGCATTGCAGTTGGGATGGGAGGAGAGTCTCTCATATGCTTTGGGTGTAGCCATGATGGAGCTGTGCCTGCGTTTTTCTCGTCCTCTACAGGCCACAGCAGTGTATCTATGCAGAAAGAGAGTGCTCTTTCTTAAGGTGGCCAGATGCCACCCTATACCTTTGATGGTACCTTTAAGAGTAAATTATCTTGTCATGCAAATTATATGTGCTCACATTTCTATTTCCACAACTATTAATAGTACAGGAGACTTGTTCTCTTTTGCATCCATCAGGAGTTCCCTTATTTTAAAGCTCTATTTCTACACATTCTGGTCCACTGATGGGAATTCATCCGAGTAAGGATTGTGCTTTAAACATACTTTTGCATCAGTGCCTCCAGTGTCCTCTGAACTCTGCTTGTCCTCTATGGTGCAGTATTTCATTTTATGTTTTGAACCAGAGCAGAGGTATTCACTGAAATGATTGTCAGTTTGTAGTTCTCAAATATTTTGGGTAGACAGATGTATATTTTCAGTGATAAACTTTGCTGCATATCTACTTCCAGTGCTGAAATCACTCAGGGCTTATTTTTTTGTATATGATATATTCTCTTCTTATATATTGTCTTTTAAAATGTTAGAAATAGATCTCAATGTCCTTAAAACACTATTAATGAGAAGAGAGGGTTCTTTGAATTTTCTTAATTCATTTTAGCAAGTTTCCATAATATGATTAAAAAGATAGATTCTGGTAGACTAAAATAGCCATTTTTGCATTATAGTTGAAAGAGAAAATGTAATTCTGATTTTTTTTATTTAAAAAAAGCCTTAATTAAGAGGCTTCAGAGCATGACCTTACTCCCCCTTCATATTTTTTTCTAGCACACTGCAGTGAAAGTAGGCTGATTAGAGCTATAGGCATCTGTATTATGAGAATTACATACATTTGTGCCGTTTTTAAAGATAATTAGAAATACTATTCCATTCTGTCAGATCCATTGTATTTCTTTTATTTAACCATGGGCTTTATGAAGTTATTCGTTTAAATGAAACACAATTCAGTATGCAAAACCTCCCAGTTATGCAGGGAGTCATAATTAAATGAACATTCCTAAGAGGTATGTTTCAGGGTATAAGAGACAGGGAAAGAATATTCTCTGAAGCCTTGATCAGGCTGTGGAACTTTCTTTTCTAGAAACACAGCTATTACCCTTTTAGGCTGCAATCCTTTGCACTTTTGCTGGAGAGCATGTAAGAGAGCCAGCATGGCATAGTGGTTTGCCTGTTGGACTGCAAATCTGGAGTCCTAGGTTCAATTCCCTGCTCAGCCCTGAAACCTACTGAGTAACCTTGGGCATGTCACATGCTTTCAGCCTCAAGGGGAGGCAATGACAAACTTTCTCTGAACAAGTCTTGCCAAGAAAACCCATGATAGGTTCACCTTAGGGTCGCCATAAGTTGAAAACGATTTGAAGGCACACAACAACAACAAGTCTCATGTAACACAGTGGACTTCTGGGTAAATAGATGGAGGAATCTACTGGCTTTCACTTGTCCTGACCTGTAGATGTCACTTTATTTGACTAGTTTGTGTGGTTTTGTATGTGCTTTTAGATTATTTCTTTTTAGTTTTGCTTATATTTTTATATTTTAAAATGTTAGCTGAGACAGAGCTTTGTCAGTAAGCCACAAAACGTACATACTGTGGCCCCCGAATAGTCATTTACTAGCCAGTGGAGAATGAGTTTGGGTGATGGTGAAGTGTCCAACTATGTGCCTGTAGGATTGTCAGTTCAGAATTACTTAGAGATGGTTCCTGGAGATGTCATTAAGTGTTATGCATTAGGTACAAGCCACACTTGTTCACTGTATGTCATTCAAACACATACACACATGCAGAGAGAGAGAGATTGACAGACAGCTTGCCAGTAAAGAAAGATCTTAGCTAAAGGGACTGTTCTCAGATCAAGGTGAAATGAAGGAATTATTCTTAGCCTTGTTTGAGGGTTGGATGATGACTCTGGAAAACAGGGTTTGAATCCCCACTCAACCATCAAAACCCATTGGGTGAACTTGGGCAAGTCACACTTTCTCAGTCTCTGAAATGCAGAGGTAAAACCCTTGGGTCAAATTTCTCCAAGATAGGTTTGTCTTAGAGCCACCATAGGTCAGAAACAACTTGGAGGAACACAACTACAGTAGTAGCATTCTACCCTACTTGCTTCTAGTTAGAAGGAAGAGCAGAATGCCTTGGCACCACATTGACTGAAAGGGAATGAGGAAGCTAATTCAAAACATGGAACCACCTGGAGAGTCTTTGCAAGTTACAGCAGCAAATCAATAAGTCTGTCAAATTATGGCAAGCTGCTGTTTTACAAGTCACCCCCCTCCCGCAATTGGGAAATTTGCACTCTTATCTCCTGCCTGCACATGACTCAAGAAAACTAGAGATTCAGTGCTCACCAGAATCTCTGGAGGATCCCTGGGAAGGCCTAGAGCCATGATGGCGAACCTATGGCACGCGTGCCACAGATGGCACGCGAAGCCATTTTTCCCAGCACGCTGAGGGTGGGAAGAAGAGGAAGAGGGATGGCATGCTTGTTCCTCCTCGTTTCCGTCCATCCCAAGCCTTCAGCTTTCTCTCTGGAGGCAGCTGAAAGCCAAGGACGGTGTGGGGGAAGGAGGAGGAAGAGGTGCACATCTGTTTTTTTTCCTGGACCCTCCCTGGCCTTCAGCTGCCTCTCTGGGATGGCACGGGAGGAGGAGGAGGAAGAGGTGTGCACCTGTACCTCTTCTTTCCCCCCCCCCCCAACCCACTTGGGCCATCTGTCTCTGGAGAGGAAGCTGAAGGCCCAGGAGGGCAGGGTAAGAAGTCCCGCCCCCAGAGGGTGGAAGTCCCGCCCTCAGCACCAGGTAATACCCAGTGCTGGAAGGCACTTTTAATTTGGGCACTTGGCCCCTAAAAGGTTTGTCATCACTGTCCTAGAGGATACCTCATCATTGTGTATCTGTGGGCCTTTACTGACTGCCAGAAATAATGCAGCTTGAGTCCACTTTAAC